GGATCATGTATCTGAGTCTTTTACGATTTATTTATTTATGCATGCAAGAGCTGTGTACAGGCCAGAGGTGCAGGAGGTGAGAGGCTTCACCAGAGACAGAGTGGGGAGCAGAACGAGCAGATTGCCAAAGTACACTGCCGAGGGGAGCAGCGGGCAGGTTAGGAGAGGTCTGTGGCGCCATGTGGTCACCTCCCTGGCTGGGGATGAACTCCTACTGCAGCGGTTGTAGACAGCTTCATAGTGCTGCAACTTAACTCCTTGAGCCACCAGAGAGGCCCTGATTGCCTGAATGAATTTTTGACACAAACTATCCCAAAACTTAGTGCCCTCTACTCCGCTCCCGTTTCTGTCGTTGGGAGGGACTGTGCTTGGTGGTGTGGCCGGGTCTCTGCACACATCTGCAGTCCGCCAGATCTGGCTGACTGTTGACCACACCCTTGGGGTTTTCCCCTTGGGATATGTCATCCCCAGTGACTCCTGGGTGCTTTCACACGAAGGTTGCTGATTCCCAAGAAAAACAAGAGTCTAATCCTGGTGCCCAACAACTTTCCAAATCTCTGCTTATTACTAAAACAAGGTGGCTGCACCACCAGTGTGGGGGTTTAGCGAGTGATCAAATAGGGCACCACTTTAATTAGTCTACTGTACCACTTCCCTGCTGGCCCCGTTGTGGGGATGACAACAAGATTTTTCACGCAGAGAGCTCAACACAGTGACTGGCTGCCCACTAGTTCTCCAGAAGTGTTACTATTTCGTGAACGAGGCCCAGAAGTCATTAGATAGCTTGATGGAGGTCTGGTCTCCATGGAATAGTGGGGATTTGAATCCAGTTTCCAGTTCCTTCTAGGGACTGAACCCTTAGCTCTGCCGCTCCACCCAGCCGACACGTGGAGGAGACAGACAGTCACCCACGATGTGAGGTCAGCCTGTGTATGGAGGGCCACTCACCCCATGTTTGAGCTCCCCACCCCAACTTCCTTCCTTTCGCCATCAGCCATGCTCCAAGGCACTGGGCCTGGTTGCTTTTGTCGTCGGTCTGAAATGCCAGAGTGGGAAGAAAATATTTGTTTTTGTGTCCTCTTCCAGCACTAACAATTTCCTGCTTGCGTTTTTCTGTTGTTTGGCTCAGATGAATAGCAGTTTTCATCTTTGCTCTGTGTTATCATGTACACAGAACTGCTGTCGGGGAGCGAACAGCATGCTTGCTTAGTCATTATTCTGGGAAGGGGTGCCAGCCAGTCAATAGCCTTTATTTTCACACGACTCGTGCACTGCGAATGCAGAAATAACGCTCAGCCTCGGCGCACAGAGCCGCCATCCTGGGTAGAGCCAAGGTGTGGCCACCGCGAGTCCTGGCGCCCGTTGCAACTGGCTTCCTTCGCCAGAGCCGGGGATCCGGGCTGACCTCTCTCCTTGCTTCGCTGTGACAGAATCTGTGCTAGATTTTATGGTTTTTACCAATTCAAGGGAGAAAGCAAGTCGCATGGGAAAGGTGCCAGGCTCAGAACCACTTCTTAGGAAGAGAAAATAAGGCAGACGTCGGGAAATGCAGGCAAACTGCCTGGCCTGGGACCTGGCATGGGTGTGGGGAGCGCGACACCTTCCTGTGGCTGGCTGGCTGCTGAGGGGAAGGGGGCTGAGCGTGGGGTCGCCAGTGGGGCTGCCCTGTTGAGGCTGCAAGTTCGGAGGCCCAGACGGAGCAGGGGGTTGGTGCTACCTGGTCAGCCGGCAGCTCTGCCAGGCCAGAGATGAGATGTCCAGCCGAGCCAGGAGCAGAAGGAGCCGCAGTCTTAGGCAACAGGTGTCTGGCTTTAAGAGCTGTAGGAGACTGACAAGGCCTAGGCAGGGGAGCTGACCCTTGTTCAGCCAAAGTGTGGCTGTGCTGGAGTCTGTGGCAGCCGGTGCTCCAGGCCCTGAGGACTCTGGTGAACAAGCAGCAGTCCCTGCCACAGGGCTGTTGTGAGGGAGTGAAGGCAAAGAAAAGGCGCTCTAGCATGGCGATACAAGCTAGAAAGAAAATAAACAGATCGTTGGAGCAGAAGGTATCGTTTGGAGGGGGTGGGCAAGAAAGACTCCACTGAGAAAATGAAACTTGAACTGAGGCCTGATGATGACAGGGTGATCAGGTGTGCATAGGAAATGCAAAGGCCTGGGGTTGGAACAAGCCTGGAATGTTCCAGAGTGCTTGCAAGAGGGGACATCCAAGTGGGAGGAGGCCCCTAGGTATAGTGCCTGGGGGCGCTGAGCCAGTGTGGGTCTTAGCCTCCCTTTCGCCTGTACCGGGTTCCCCTGTAATGGGAATCGACCTGAGGGTTCACAGGCGGACAGTTGCATCTGAGTTCTGAGCCGAGCTGATCTTGGACAGTAAGAGCAACTGAATCTTGTTTTCTTGGAGACAGAGGAACAGTTGGGGGAGATCCTGACCAGGGACCGTGCTTTGGCTCTTGATTGCAATGAGGTGCTCAGAAATTGGTGAAGGGATGGATTGATTAGTTCCCCAACATGTTGATCCAGGATTACTGTCAGGCTGGGGGGAGGGTCCCTGCCAGGGTCCCCAAGACTTGGCCCCAAACTCTCTCTGTTCAACATTTCTACTCACAAATTGGCATGAGTCTTAGAAAACGTGCTCATCAGACATGCAGCTGGCGAGGGGCTGGCAGGGACAGCTGGGTGCAGGATCCGGGGTCCCCCACTAATGTGACAACGGGAGGAGGCAAGCAATGCTCTGACTGCTTCAGATTGGGGACAAAAACCCAGCCTGAGCATGGTTGGGCGGGGGTCTTCCGCCACTCTCTTGGGAAAGGAAGCAGGCAGGAGTGGGAGGAGTTAGCAAATCATTGGCCCCTTGGCATCTGCACCCAGCCTCTTCACCTAAGTGACAAAATCCTGAGCCCCTTTCAGGCCCGCTTTTCCCATCTGTAAAGTGGAGATGACACTGTCTACTGCCTAGGGGCGTGGAGAAGATTAAGTGTGAGCAAACTGGTGGGTGCCTGGCTTCCTGGCTGGCCTGCAATGGATTCAAATGGGGGTTTGTAGAGGTTGTCCCAGGGATGGTTGGGTGTCTGGGCAGCCTTGGTGTGCACGGAGGGCCGGGAGAGGGGTCTAATCTTGGCCTTCACTGCCCCTTCTGGGAATGCCAGCTCCTCAGAAACCCCGATCCTATCGTGCACCCAGAGAAGGTAGACTACAAGCTCCTGCTGGGTGCTCTCCACCAGCCCTGCTCCCAGGCCTGGGAGGCCAGGTGTGCCCACACGGGGACTGGAAAGGGGCAGACTGCCTGTGGGGTGTTTTTGGTACAGGAACTTGTGAGTCTTTTAGAAGCTGCTTTGACTTTTCCCTGGAGCTGGAGTTTTAGAAGATTCAGCAGAGATGTGTGTGGGTGCCTGTAGTGTGTCCCACTTTTATCTAAAACACAAAACAAAGTCAGAAACCAAACCCAGACAAAAACAGAGGGAGTCGCGCGCCAGGAACCCCTGGGCCTATCCCCCCAAGCAGCGGCCTGTCTCGTCCCTCTTACCTCCCCTGACCCTGCCGGCCCTTGCAGGATGAAGTTTAAAGCTGCTTACCAACTTTAGCATGTAGCTCCAAACATCAGGACTTTTATTTGGGTGGTATCAGTGTAATCACAATCCCTTATCACAAGCTAAAAACTAACATAACTGTGTATCTTCCGAATTCAGAAAAGCCATTGCCCTATAGATGGCTTTGCAGGTTATTTTGAGGGGAGAGGCGAGAAGTGGACCTTCTGATGTCTGGTCTCTCATCCCCTTTGAGCATGAAGATGAAAAGGAAGAAGCGGGGTGGGTGGGGAGGGGGGCGGACAGAACCCTTGGGAGCATGATGGACGCCCCTCTATTGTGATTGTCCCTGGAGACAGGGCCGTGAGAGTGGGGCATGCTCGGGGGGGGGGGGGGGGGGTTGGCGGAGAGAGAAAGGAAGAGAGGACGGAGGGAAGGCGGCGGCGCCGGCCCAGGCCGCCTCTTCTGGTGCAGGACCCCGGCTCGTCTCGCACACGCGCCCTCCCACGTGTGTCCTTGCTGAGCGCCCCTGGACCCGCTCGCCAAGTGCTCCCCGACCAGGACTGGTGCTTTTAGTGTCACAACCACGTGGCAAGGGGAGCCCCGAAGTCCCAGGGTCTGGCGTGAAGTAGGCAGCGACGCCCGGTGCAGCCCCGGGCCCTGTGGCCGGAGCCGCTTTCTGCAGGCAGGTGGGCTGATGTGCAGAAGGCCTGGCTGTCCCCTCGTTCGAACGCTGACAGGTCCCTTATCGTTAGCTCTTCCCTGCGCTCTCCCAAGTGCCCTCACTACTCAACCCCTTTCCTGTACCCCCCACCCACTCAGGACCCAGTCACCCAGGGGTTAAGGAGTGCCCAGCACAGCAGGCAGCCTCTGGCCTCCATGCCCATGGGAGACGCAGGCATCTGTGCGCCACGGTAGAGTTCACGATCGTGGACCCAGCGGGCTAATGTGGACTTCCTCGTGGACACCTGTGTCCCTCTTCCTCCGTGCCAAACGTGCTTTGCCCCTCGGTGGCTTCCTGTTAGCCAGATGAGGACACGGGTACTGAGAGGCTAGCCGTCCAGAGCCGGGGAAGGGACAGAGCCAGGCGTGCGCTCCAGCCCCCCCCACACACGCCCCTTTCTCACGCACCTTCTGCTCCCTGGACGCCATGCTCATGGCCGTGGGCTCTCTCCTGGCCCCTTCGCTGCAGATCCTTTATTGCTTCAGGTCCTGGGCACGACCGAAGAAATCAAGGCGCGTTTCCCTGAGCAAGACGCAGTGTTCCAGGGAGTGGGGCACTCAGCGTCCTGCCCCAGAACCACGCTCTCAGTGCAGGTGCGCTGACGTGTGGCGAGCCGCCGCGCGCCCTCGTGAGAAAGCGACATGTTGCTCTTACCTGGAAAGGTGCTGAGTGCACCCCTCGGCCTCGGCCTGTCTCCCCTGCATGACCCCCTAGCGAGCCCGGCACTGACGCTGCCTGTCCGTCTGTCCTGCTTGCAGAGCTCTGGAGTTCAGCAGCTGTAAAGACGAGATCTCCCTGTTGGCGGAGCAGGAGTTCTTGAGCCTCACCAGAGAGCACCTCATCCTGGTGTCAGAGAGCCCCGGGGAGCTGCAGGCGCCGCCCAACTCCCCCGCGCTACCCGGCCAGCCAGGCCCGAGCCTCCATGCGCCGCCCATGGCAGCGGGCAGCAGGGAGCACCCAGGAGCTGTCTGCACCGCCAGCGACACGCTTCTGGAGCCGAAGGTGGCCACGTCCCTTATGGGCAGCCGGCAGGACTGTGATTCTGCCATGTCCACGGTCACAGGCATCCTGCGTGCTGCCAAGGTTAGGAGCGCCAAGGGGACAGAGGACGGGCGCCACAGCCCGGGCGTCTCTAACTCAGAGATCAGCAAGCTCCTGGCCCAGTTCCCGCTGAAGCCCTCAGAAGCATGCCGGGACCCGGACAACAAGATGGTGCTGGAGGGGACGAGAGTCATCAAGGACTTCCTGCAGAACAGCATGTTCAATGGCCCCGCACCCAGGGAGCCCGCTGGGCCGGGCCCCTTCCTGCTGCTGCCGCCGCCCGCCTCCCTTGCACCCCCCGACAAGCTCCCTGAGCTCCCTGCCCAGAAGCGGCAGCTCCCAGTGTTCGCCAAGATCTGCTCCAAACCCGAGGCCGAGCCCGCCGTGGAGGGGCACCACTTGATGGGTGAGTGGGCCCGGAGCAAGGCCGGGAGGGGGCACCTCCCAGATAGCCCGTGGGGCGGTGGCAGGCCCCGGGCACGCAGCTCCTCCGTGCAGAGGAGGGTCCAGGGGCAGGCACATCCAGCCCCTGCAGGCCTCTCTGCCGCCTGCCAGTGCGGAGGGCACAGCTAGTGCGGGCCCCCGGCATGCTTTGTGGCGGGGCTGGGACGGGCACGTGGGCCGCTGGTAATCTGGCCCCACCTCAGTTTGCAGAGTCCATTGAAGCACGTGTTTTACTTTGGTTGGTCCAGGGTGAAACCACAGCGCAGGGACTCTAAGCTGGAGAGGCGTGAACTGATGGGCACTGGGGGTCACTCGGAGGAACCTGCTCTGGTCACAAGACCTGGCCTTCTCTCTCTGGGGAGAGTGGGTGTGTCCACTCTCCAGGCGCGCTCCAGGCTGTTGGCGCTGGGGTTTGTGTCTGGGACCCCAGGGCCTTGGAAAAGTGCTTTCCCATCTCAGAACTGAGGGGTCCACCTCCTGCCCAGGAAGCCCAGCCACCTCCCAGTATTCCTCTACCCACTCCCACCACTCAGTCGAGATGGTTCCAAGAAGACCGACTGGTCGCAGGGATGTTTGCCTATAGTCGGCAGTCACGGCAAGAGTAGGTTTACTCATGTCCAGGAGAAGAAAAACTATCCCCAGGCGGTGAGTAGGGATGGGTAGCTGAGCGCTGCGTGTACCTGCCTCCCTGAGGAAACAGAAATGAGGTTCGTCTAGAGAGCTTTCTGTCTTCCGGAATGTAGTCAGGGGTCCAGGAATCAGAGCTTGGACAGTAAGCTGGCCTCTGGGTCCTGGGCAGGCCTTGAGGGGCCAGGTGCTGGGGGGTGGAGGTGTGGGGGCACCGAGCCCTGCCCAGACAGAGGGGACTTCCCTCTGGCCGCCTTCCCCAGGGTCATGCCTGGGTCAGAGGGGCCCACTGGTTCGGAAGTGTGGCGCCCCGCCCTCCCCCGCACCCCGATGCGTTGTCTGTGTGGACAAACGTTCAGACAAAGGAGGCTCTGCGGGTATAAGTGTGTGTGTTAGAAACATACAGTGTGGGTGCCCCTGCGTGCATCTGTGTTTGTGTGTGTGTCTGTGGTGTGTGGCCTCGTGGCTGCGTGAGCAGGTCAAAGGGATGAAGACAGGAACGTGTGTGCGCGCACAGACGCTGGAAGAAGCGCTGTAGCTGAAGGAACAGCAAGGGTGTCAGGTGGCCGGAGGGGTGTGAGACTGTAGGTGTGTGGGTCTCAGGGGGCGGGGAGCGCTATTATTAGTGGGTACTGTTATTTCAGCACACTGGCTGGGGGCTAAACTCGGCAACCAGCGTCTCTTGGAAGAGACTCTAGGGACATGCTTTGCTAAAAATGTCATTTTCTCCTAAATTGGCTCAGGCTAGGAAGGCACTTTCCTTTGCTAGGTTGGCACTGGGCGGGCAGGTCCAGTCTTGTCTAGAATCAGCTTGAAGGCTGCTGGGCTGGGTGGGGGCAGCAAAAGCTGGTGTGATTGGACGCACTCTCAGCAGGTGACACCAGGCCCAGGTCTTCTGACCTGACCACAGCCAGCATAATCCGAGGTGCCTGCCATGCGCCCCCACTGTTTCCCAGCCAAGTGCCATGGAGACCTGCAGGGGCCTCTAGGGAAGGAGGCAGGGGTACTGGGAAGATGAAGCTTTCTTCCTGCTTCAGCTAGATGAGGTCTTCCAAAACAGCTCCTGGGTGTAATTTCCGTGCCATACATATTTTTGTCGGGAGAAAGAATTCCATCGCTAAGAAGGAAACATAGGTGAAAAGGACTGCTGTGCAGACACACGTATTTCTGCTGTGGAGGGTCCCAAGGTGGTGTAGACAGTGCCCTACAGTGCGGGAATGGCCCACCTATTTGGAGAGAGGCCTGAGCCTGGCACTGACTGCGCCCACGACACAGTTGTCTCCTGATGTGTCCTAGCCTTGGCCTGCAGTCCCCCTGGGGAAGGCCCACTTCCTTCCGGAAGCCCCCAGCCCTCCAGACAGCTTTCTCAGCCACCCTCTCTCTGTCCTCCCTCATCTCACGTTCCCCATCTGCCTTGGCCCGGAGCTATTTCTGGCACTCTCTCCCTCCGTGTTGAGCTCCTGCAGGGCCAAGTCTGGCTCTGACTCATCACAGTGTCCCCGTACCAGGTCAGGGCCTGGCTCTGACGAGGGGGTGAGCCGCCTGAGACAGTGAAGCAGGGTGGAGTCCATGAGAGGGCCCCGTGCAGCTCAGAGCGCATGTTCTGTGGGGATGCGGAGCGCCTCACTAAGCCCAGTGCTCCCCGAAGGCAAGAACGGTGTTCAGGCCAGCTTTGTACCCCGAGCTTGCACTAAGGAATGGAGGCATGGAGGGGGGGAGGAAGGCAGGCATGGGTGTGTGGACAGGTGATGGAGGACGAGCGGCCAGGCCAGCACGGGCAGCGGGCAGTGAAGGCTTCAGTGAGGAGGCGCCTGGGAAAGTCCTGCGAGTAGTCTGAGCCTTGGGAGTGGGCTACGGAGGAGCTGCTGCTTAGTCCATAGCTGTTCCCCACGCCCAGCATCTGGCCTTGTAGGGTCACTGACTCAGTTTCCCTCCTGTAGAGCGAAACCCTGGTGCCAAGGAGCCAAGCAAAGGCCGAGAGAGCCTCTTTCTTAGTCAGTGGCCTCAGAGCCGGAAGGACACGAAAGACACGAAGGACACGAAGGACACGAAAGACACGAAAGACACGAAGGACACGAAGGACACGAAGGACACTTGCGGTGAGGAGGGTTGCAGTGACCCTCCGGGTTCCGTGTCCATGGCCCTGCAGGCCAAGAAGCCTCCGTGGCCTGCTGAGAAGAATCTGCTCTGTGAGTTCCTCGGGGCCACCAAGAACCCAACTGGACAGCTGAGGCTTCGCAGCAAGATGGAGGTGGATGGGCTGGAGCTGAAACGTAAGTTGGCCCCCACCATGGAGAGTCTGCGGGGGGAGGGGCTCAAGGCCCCCGCAGCCCCTGGCAGGGGCGTGCCCTCAATGGCTGTGAGCAGCAGGAGCAGTCGCTGACATTCTGCATATTATTGTTTAACACCTCAGAATGGAGGCAACGCCCTTCTCCCCACGCCCCTTATAGGGAATTACTAGGGAAGTGGAACTGGACTTCAAGGGTCACGTGGGCATTCCGAGGAGCCTGCTTGACCTGCCTTTGGCATATGTCCCCAGGTAACCCAGGTCAAAGAGGACCCCGGGCTCTGGGTTGTCTCTACAGGAGCCCGTTGTGCCTCTCGGTTCTTCACTTGTCCTCCTACAGCTATTTAGCCCTCCCCTCATAAAAAAGCCCCCAAAGGGGAAACTGCACCTCCACCTTGAACGCTATAAGCCCCAGGATATATTGTAGAGGGAGAGAACCCACTATTCATATCCGGGAGCCACTCAGCCACCCACACCTTCACACTAATTTTAGGCCATGCCGTACTCAATTATATCATGTTTGAAATATTTTCCTTAAAAAGTGATTTCAGTGTAGATAAGATAACCCATGCAAAGTCCTTAGTGTGGCCAAAAATATGTCCTCAGGGGGTTGGTTGCTTTAGTAATTTGATAAGAATGAATTCTATTGTTTGTCTAAAACCGGCTGTTTTCGGAAGCTCCTGAAAGAACTTGGCTTTGTACATAGGTAAAATATAGCCCTCGCAACCCAGTTTATTGTATTCTTTTGCCGCACCACCTCCTTTACATGGGTGATGGAGACAGAAGCTCCAAGCCAGTCTATGCTGGGATTTCTCACCCCTTCTGAATGGGCAAGGTGGGGACGAATGAATGATGTTTTCCAACAATTGGAAACTGCCCCCAACTTTGAAGAACACTTTGAGAGCTGCAAGGACCCACCCCCTAAGAACATCAGCCCCGGGGTAGGGAGGGTGCTGGAGGCCTCCTCTGCTTCCCTCCTACTCTCACGAAAACAGTTTACCTCTCCCATGACTTACAGTTAACCCACCTGCCACCATGGCCGACAAGAACAACCTCAAGTACACGGGGAATGTTTTCACACCCCGCTTCGCCACCACCTTGACCTCAGCAACCCTGAACCAGCCACTCTGGCTTAACCTCAACTACCCACCTCCACCGGTGTTCACGAATCACTCCACCTTCCCACAGTACCAGGTGAGTGACAGGTCCCAGCTCTCTGGCAGGTCAGCCCTGGGGGCTCCGGCCCCGAGGGGCTGTGACTTGCAGAGCCTCTGGGACATCAGATGAAGCCCGTGGCTACGCACACGTCCACATGCTCACACAGGCACGTGCACGCGCTTCTGGTTTCCCACGGTCTGAATCCCGCTGACTCCGGGCTGTGTGGTCCAGCGCTGCTTTGCAAGTCTGAGCAAGTGCCTGGGCTCCCAGAGTAGCTGCCGCCCCCCCGACTCCGGGGCTTCCTTTGTAGTTAGATGACACGCATGGAGGGGACTCCAGTTTAGGTCTTTTGCCCCAACACAATGAAGGACATTCTTGGCTTTTGTCTCATAGCTGCAAGGTATTTGGTGCCAGATACAAGGGCTGGTGTGAAACAATAGCTGGGCTGGAAATTGTGCTTCACAGAACTTACTTTCGTGGGGAAAATGTCGTTTCTTTGGTTTGTCTATTTAACTTAATCTCCCTTAAGAGCTGCTGCCCACTGGGTAGGAGGAGGAAGAAATCAAATAAATGTCCACTTTAGTTAAAACTTCAGTCCAATCCAGAAGTGTAAACAGTCCCTGAGGGGCAGTGCTCAGTTTCTCGGGAGGGCCCTCAGCGCCTGGGCGTTTTGTTTTCTGCCCCTCTCTGGCTCCTCCCAGACACGGCGTCACCACCCCCTGCATGGGTGTCCTGCGCAAGGTGGAAGCTGGGCCTTCTCCAGTCCAGGAAATGCGTCTCTGAGCTGGTCCACCAGGCCTGGCTGCTGAATTTTAAATGAGAGCTGAAGTAGTGCAGCTGGTGTTTTACTTTTCAGTTTGGTTTGGTTTGTTTTTGTTTTTGTTTTTTTTTTTTTTTTCATTTGCTAAAGAGCACGGGTGCCCACCCTCTCCTCACCCAGGTAGAAAGCTCCCCGGTGGAGGCGAGCAGGAGTTGGGAAGCCTGACCCAAGAGCCGGGAAGGCCTCGCTGCCTTCACATGTCACGGCGGTCATGGCCCAGGTGGAGAGAAACGCCTGCTCGTGGACCTGCCGGCTCATTCGCCGTGTTCTCCTGTCCTCCCCTTTTGTGTTTGCTCATTCGTGGTCCCGCCATTTATTCACTTACTCGCTGATTTACTCCTTTTTGTTTATTTATCGATTCATTCACTTGAGTTATTTAAAAAACTTTTGCTTTTCACTGCTGACAGGCCAGGCATAGGGCCAGGGGAGGGATCCGGAGGTGACTGAAAAGCAGGGAGGCCAGGTCCGTGAGGACAAATCCCGGCCCTGCCCTCGGCGCACCCCGCCTGGAAAGCCGCAGCTTGGCGTTTGCGTAAATCAAGTCACTGTGCCGCCAGGGCTCACCATGTAAACCCACGTGTTGTGTTGATTTCTTGGGCGCAGGGGAGGTTGGGGCCTATTTTCCACACCTGCGAGCCCTTGGTGGCCAGGGCTGACGCCAAGTCCTCGCCTCTGGACAGACGTGGTTGAGGGCCTTGGCTGGTAGGGCCCTGGGCCCTGTGGGGACAGTGTGGGTGCCGACTGACTCCTGCTGAGGCCCACCCTGGCTGGGGAAGGAATGTTGCGGTAGTTTACTTTTTCCCAGCTCTCCATGGCCTCATAGGGCCACCCAGCTTCAAGACGGCTCACATAAGACAAGGAAGTAGGTTTGGGGATCCGTGCACTTGTGTTTAAGGGAACGCCATGTCCAAGCCGAGAGGCCACGGGCGAGTTAGCTAAAAGCTCCGAGCTCTGGTTCCTTCACTTGCGAAATGGATTCACAGTGATCATACCGGCAGCTTATTCTTAGATACAGCTATAACGTTAGTGGGGTCCATGTATGGGGTAGGGTTTTATAAAACTAAAAATATGATATTGATGTCGATTTTTTATTATTTTAGAGCCAGATCTTCCTAGGAAGCAGGGTCAGAGGTTCTGCAGCTCTAGGGAGACAGGGAGGAGAGCTGGGGAGCAGCCTTTCCTCGTTTCCTTTCTTGTTTGGTGTTAGGAATAAAGATGAGATTCCAGGTCCAGCTTTCCCAGAGAGCCGCTGCAAAGTGGCAGAGGGTAGAGGACTAAGTCCCAGCACCGGGGAAGGCTGCCCAGCACACAGGAACTCTGCTCCCAAGAAGGAGGAATGTGAAGGGGAGAAGGCGCAGGGCTTCCTGCAAGGAAGCCTGAATATTCATTTACCCTTGCCTGTGATTTTACAGAATTACAGTTCAAACAACTAGAAATGCCCTTCAAGTCATACCGCGTCGCTCGTCATGGTAATGACACTGTCTCCTGAAAAGCCTGTGTGTTTCCACAGATCTAGGGAGCCAGCAGCGGCGCAGTGGGGGGATCGCAGCCTGGGGGTGCTCGCTGCAGAAGGCAGAGCTAATGTGGAGGGCGGAGACTCAGGGAGCACTCGAGCAGCTGTGCTTGCATAAACCTGACACTAACTTCAGCACACAAAGACACACCCGGGCACCCCATGTCTTGAGCAGCAATGGGGTTCAGGGAGAGGGGTGTAGAGAGCAAAAAGATAACATGGCCAGCTCCTCAGGTGTGTCTGTCTGCACACACGTGACAAGGAAAGAGGCTCAGGTGGCCAGGTGACTTGCCCAGGGTCACACAGCCCGAGGGGGCAGGTCTGGGGCTCAGAGGCAGTCAGGCTCCAGATGCTCTTAGACACTGAAAAGGCCGTGACTGCTGCTCTGTAGGGACTTCGCGACGGTGGTGTAAAGCTGCTTGCTCAGTCTGGGAGCGCGGTGGGGGACACCCAGCTGCATCGGGGCCTCGGGCCGGAAACGGAGTTGAGCAGCTGCGCTCTGACTGGGAGTCTCCCTGGGCACTGAGCCTCTGCCTTCTCTCCCCAGGGCCTGTACCCTCAGCGGGCAGCCAGGATGCCCTATCAGCAGGCCCTGCACCCCCAGCTGGGGTGCTACTCCCGTCAGGTGAGTAAACCGCTTTTCTTCCTCTGGCCTAACTCCATCGAGGCCATTGGGTCAGGGCACCTGCTCCCTGTGTGTCCAGCGGGTGTCACCCACCCTCTCCGCCCGGCCATGGTGCCAGAGCAGTCACAGGTCCCAGCCCGTGTAGGGAGGTGTGAGCCTGGTTCCCTCCACGAACACACAGAACACCACGATGTGCCAGGCCCTCCCCTCAGGGCTGAGCCTAACCACCACACCAGCCCTGTGTGAGCAGGTGAAGAGATGAAGAAACGGAGGCACAGAGGGATTCCACATCGAGTCCAAGGTCGTAGAGTTGACCTCTAAGTTAGCGGTGGCAGTAACAGCAAATAGCCTCAAAATCTCAGAGACTTTCAACAGAGAATATTTTCCCTTCACCCATAGGTTCTGTAGGTTGACTGAGCTGGGCAATGGCTTGGGTTCTGTTCTATTCCATCTATATTACTTTGAGGTCTGGAGCCAAAGATAGAGTTGCAGGAGCAGTAAGAAGCCCCCAGAGCCCCACCGGGAGCTGGTGCAGGGCATGTCCATGGGTCAGGGCCTGCGTCACGTCCCTTCCTCGCTGGTTTGCCAGACAAAATACAGAATACCCAGTTACACTTGAATTCCAGACGAAGGCTAACGAATTTTTCTATGTGCCAAATATTGTATGGGGCAAGTAGTTGCCGTTAGCCTGAAACCCAGCTGGCTGTCTGTGGGTAGGCTGAGGGGACAGAGCGATACCTGCTGGACAGTCACGTAGAACCGGAGTCTGGCCTTGGGCAGCCTGGCCTCAGGGTCTGTGCCCCCAGCCTCCGAGGCCGACTGCTTCTCGTATAGACCCACGCAAGCACGCAGAGTCAAAATAAAGCAGCGACAGGAGTGAAGACCCAGAACAGCTCGGCAAGGCAGCCAAAGGCGGGGGCTGAGGCAGAGAGACCCAGCGTCTCGGGCAGGGACGGGGTGTACGGGTAGAGCCGGGCACCTGCTTCGTTGTGAGTGGCCAGGCTGGCATTGAGGTGGACAGACGTCCACCTGGAGCTCAGGCCCTGTGCCTCTCCTCTCTCCCGGGAGCCCCTCTCCTCTGCAAACTGCACCCTGAAGTGCCTGTGTTAGGATGTCCCCAAGGCAGGGCAGGACCCATGTCCGGGGGTCCAGCGGTCACCTGGATCAGGACAGCAGCAGGAGCTTTGCCTCTGGTGGACACAGAGCCCGGCCGACCGCGGCACTTGCACTGTGAGCGCGACCTGGCTCCCGAGAGCGCTTTTACACAGAGCTGTGTGCACGCATCTATTTTTAAAAGTAACATAAGGATACTGGACAAAATTGAAAAATCTTCGAGGCCACCAGTGTCACTGACTGATGTCTTAGGCAGCTTCCAGTGCCATCTACACAAAGGTTTTTATTCATAGGGGACATTCTCGGCTTCTGTTCCGTTGCCGCCTGTCAGTGGAGCGTGTCTCGTGGAAGTGGCTCCAGGAGGGCGCGGAGTTGTATTTTATGGTTTTTGTCGGCCGTGCATAGTTAAGACACATTTTGAGTGGAATGTGTGTAAGTGGCAGGACCTGCCCCTTCTCTTTCGTGTCGGCTTCCTCCCAGGTTACCCCCTCCCCCGTGAAAACCGGGGGGCAGCTCTGCTGTCCTCACCCTGGGGTGTCTGTCCTAGCAGGTGCCATCCTGGGCTCCCTCTGCAGCCCTTGGGGCTCTCTGGCCTTGTCCCCTGGGGCTTTTGGCGCCCTGTCCAGCATCCCCAGTTCAGCATGTCCAGGGGGCCCAGGCTTCAAGGGAGCGAGCGCGGCCCGGGCTCGGCCTGCCGGGTTCTGACCAAGACTGAGGCTCCGTAGCTTTAGTAAGCAAGACTCCCAGATTCTCTGGGCCTGTTCCTCCTCTCTGACGTGGCGATAATAATGGGCCTCCTTCCCAGGACTGTTTGGAGCTTATGGGAGGGGCCCGTGTGTGGGCCCAGCGCGCCCTCGTGCTCAGGAAGTGCCAGGGAATGTGGGGTGAGAGGGGCTGTCAGCCGCTGAATCCCTGAACAGCTTGGGCCCCAGACTCTTGCTGTTCAAGCGGAAATCCCAGAGGTGGTCCAGTTTTGGCTGTGGAAGTCAGCCCACAGGAGACGTCGGCGACAGCCCCCGGTGCTTCTCAAGTAAGACCTTAGTCCTCACCCCTGACCTCCCCCCGTGCGTCCTCCCTTTTTCTCTCTTGAACTCATCCCGTGTTCATCAGGCAGCTACTGTGTGTCAGGTCCTGCCTTGGGGCTGAGGCCCTATCAGGAAGACAGGTGGGACCCTGCCTTGTCGTGGCAAGAACGGGCGTTCTTGAGGGGTGTCTGGTCCAGAAATCCCACGGGGCCCTGTTGTGCGCCTCTAGATTGGAGCAGAATCTCATTGTTGTCTGAGTCCTTTCTCCTCGCCTGCCCAACACTGCAGCCGCCCGTCATGCACGACTTTTTCTATCTAAATCATCTAAAATCAATACAATTAAAGATTCAGTTTCTCGCTCCCGTTAGCTGAGTGGCCAGTGGCTAACTCTGGACAGTGCCGCTAGAACATTCCCGTCACTCGTGGCAGGGATCTCCACTGGGCAGCGCTGCCCTGGCCTGGGAATCAGCTGTAATTCTAGGAGAGAAGCCAGGCATGTGCAAATATCAACAGTTTTTCTTCTGAGATGGTAAAAGGCTTAGGAGCAAGAGACTTTGGGGATAGTTATTGACAAAGGGAAGGAAGGGAGACGAGGAAGAGAGTGGAATTAATAAGCGTAGCGTGCGGTCCCTTCCATCAGCGGACACAGTCCCACACAGTGGGTGCAGCGTCTGCCCATTTTATAGAGGAGGAAACTGAGGCTCAGATGAATCCAGGGCCACAGACACAGGTTGAGCCCTGCGCTTCTTCCATCCCAGCCTACTGTCCCCTAGGGATCTCACAGGAACGGGGCTGGGGGCTGCCGTGTGGGGATGGGGTCAGGGCAGAGGAGGGAGCTGTGAGGTCCCTCACCTTCCGCCCCTCTGAACCACAGGTGACACCGTACAATCCTCAGCAGATGGGGCAGCAGATTTTCCGCTCTTCCTACGCCCCCCTGCTGAGCTACATCCCGTTCGTCCAGCCCAACTATACGTACCCCCAGAGGACGCCTCCAAAGCTGTCCAGCAATCCCCGAGACCCTTCGCCCATGGCAGGAGATGGGCCGCAGTTCCTCTTCCCCACGCAGGCATATGGGTGAGTCCTAACCCCTCCCCCATCCGCAGCCCCACCCCCGTCAGCTTGCACCCAGAGGGCTGCTGGAGCCGGGAGGCCGGCCTGCTGGGTTCAGGGTGCCTTCTCCGTGGCTGTGTTCCGTGGCTGCGGGGAGGGGAGGGCCTGGAACCTCTGCCACTCGCTGTGTGGCTCCTGGACCACCCGCTGGGGAGGTGAGTGGGACCTGGGGACCCTTTGGTGGGTCCATTTTGGGACTGCAGCTCTGGTGGGCTGCAGGGGTGTAACGGCAGGAGGCAGTGATGGCTACTCCGTCCACAGCAGGGCAGGGGGTGGCGCCTTCACCCACCTGCTTGGTCCACAGCGGGCACGGCCAAGTGGCCTTCTCCCAGCCCACCCTGTGCTCGCCCACCTGGCCCTGGCCAGGCTGATCTAAACAACCTGGCGACGCCATGGGGGCTCTGCTAGCGGGCTCCACGGCTTACCAGGGCTGTTCGTCTCTTTGTACAAACGGCCCTAAACAGCAAAGGAGAGGGACTTAACAGCAAACGACAAACTCAACATTTTAGCTGCAAATTCACGCAGGTGTTTCATGCTGGTCAGTCAGAAACGTGTGTGTTCTGTTCATCCCACTCACTCAGTCCTCAAAGAATATCGGTGCCCCCAGAGGCAGGAGCCGTGCCAGTCCCGAGGACCCAGTCTCCAGGCACTCCTGGGGGGATGTGCGCCCAGCTTGAGAAACTCCATTTGTGGGCTTGGGGCCGAACTGCCCCAGCAACATGACTCTGCCCACCGCCCTCATAGACACCCTTCCCTGTGTGTCAGCAGCCAACCCTGCTTCCACTCTTCGTCAGGGGTCCCCTAAGCCCCTGCTTAAGAGGATGCTTGGTAGAAAGTGATTTCCCTACTCAGATCTGTTTGGGAAATAAAGATAAGCAGATTTCTTAGATCATTTAGTTTTCTGTCGTGCATAGAGAATGTTCAGGAGGGTGGTCGATACTGTTCCTTGAGCATAAAACCCACACTCCCCCTTTTCCCCTTTTTCCCTCTTTTTCCTCTCCTCCCTGCCTCCCTTCCTCTCTTTCCCCCTCCCCCCCCATTCCTTCCTTCATCCTGCACGCAGGTCATGGCATGTTGCTTCGTGCACACCTGGGAAGGGTTGCATTAACACACACAGGGAATGTAAATTTAACCTGCCAGGGCCCAGAACTCAATAGGAGGACAGGTCCTCTCCTCTGAGAGGGTGGATGAGGTGGGGGCATTGTGAAGTCAGCCCAAGACCATCAAGTGGGCGGGAGGTTTGCTGCTGGGTGGACAGCGAGGGTCTCTGGACAGGGAGGATTAGCCGTTAGAGAATGTGTTCTATGCAGTAGGTGGAAGGTCTCAGAGGGAAGGCTCGTGGCAAGCTCCACGCCTGGAGAATAAAAGCATCTAGTTAAGGTATTCAATTTGTTCCTGAAAAAGGTAGAAAATAAGATTGGAAAAGGGAGGTTGGGATTGGATTTTGAGAGGCTCTGATGGCCAGGCCTGGGCCAAAGCAGGCCGATGCACTTAAGAGTGAACTTGTGGGGGTAGGGGGGAAGGGAGGAAAACAGGAGGTAGGAGAGAGAGCAGCCTGGAGGTGACCCCAAGGTGAGAGGTCCTCACAGCCTTGGAGATGACACTATATGCTTCTTCCTTCCATGCTGCAACCTGGAGACTCGCTGCAGAAGCTGGAACTGGTGGGCTTAAGAGCAAGTGCAGTCTAGGGTCTCATAAGTCAGCCGCTGGGAAGCCCTGATCAGGACCACAAAGGAGCAGAGAGGAGAGAAGAAAATGAGCGAGCTGGAGATGGAGGGAAGAGCAGACTTAGAGGTGGGAGAGAGCCCAGGGCTGGGAAGACAATGGTGGGCTAAGAATGGGAGTGGCGGCCAGTGCTGGTGGCCAGCAGGTGGAATGGAAGCCTGGGAGGTTGGGAAAAACAAGAACACGAGTCTGAAAAGCCAGGCAAAGGGTGCAGACCCATGTCCTCACAAAAATGCTTTGCTCACTCAAACAGTCCCACTGAGCCCTTCCTCTGTGCCAGGCAGAGTGAAATAGACAACAGGGGAATGAACGGGCAGCCTTCCTGAAGCCAGGTGCTGGGGTGACAGAAAGAGGATGAAAGAGCTTCTCTTAAGGCTGGAGCTGGATGAAGCAGGAGCCTGGGCCACGCATGGACGCCCATGGTAGCATGTGGTAGCGAACAGCCCAGGCAGAAAGACCAGAAAGTGCAAGGGCCTGAGGTGGGGAATGTAGCTGGAGCATGACGAATAGGGGAGAGAGGGCGGGGTGGGTGCAGAGCCTGGCGAGACAGGGCCCGGGAGGCACGGGGAGGAATTTTCTTTTCAGAGCAGTGGGAAGCCATCAAGACTTTAAGTGGGCGAGGGCAGTTTCTTGAAGTTTCTCCTTCTCTGAAGAAGTTACCATCGTCCAGTGAGGGGGACAAGGGTAAGGGCTGTGCAGAAAAGCAGGTTGCTGGCCTGTATTTGGTCCAAACAAGAGGGTGGGCGGTGTAAATGGAGACATTGAGCATGGCAGGGAGACCTGGAGTGTTTATTTTCTTGGTGGGCTTGACAGGACATGATGGTGGTTGGATGTGGAATGAGGAAAAGAGGAGCTGCACAGATTCCTAGGATTTTGACTTGAGCTGCTGGATGAGTGGAAATGCCAGGGCGCTGGGGTCAGATGACTGGTGCAGGGATCTCTTGATCAAGCATTCGGACTTGTGTATGCAAGGTTTAAGATGCCTGCCAGTCTCCGGAGAGGAGGTGTTGATTGGCAGGGGGATATATAAGTCTGGGGATCAGAAGAGGGTGCTGGGAATGGTACTGCTTGGGTGCCATTAGCATTTAGATGATATTTAAAGACAGATGGTGTGGGACGCAATGGGCCAGGGATGCCAGCACACAGAGAAGGGGCCCGAGGGCTGAATTCCAGACCTCCAGCAACGTAGGGCGCTTGGGGCCTATAGAGGAGCCTGCGCTGAGAGGACGTATGAGGAGGGGAGGAGAAACGGGAGGTGAGGAGTGCAGAAAGCCAAGCGAAGGCTGTTTCCTGGAGGAGAGAAGTAGGGGTCACAGGCTGATGAAAAGGGAGCCCAGGCCCTGTAGGATAAAACACAGGGAACAGTGAGCACAGGAAGGATCTTGGGGGCTACCGGGTGCTGGATGCAATGAGGTCTAGCAGACGCTGGGCTGGGCTGGGCAGGACAGGCAGGACACATGGGCTTCAGTGATGGACGAGGAGTGTCGGCACTTCCTCTGGATCCGGAGCAGGAGCAAGGGGACAACCAAGAGACATGACCTGGGAGGGGAGGAGCAGGGTGGCGTGTGAGTTCGCAGGGAGGCACAGGCAGAGCCCTCCCTCGAGGGCCTCTGCCCAGTCAGGCTGTGCACACGCGTCAGGGTAGGAAAACGGCACAACTCATCTTCCCAACAGTGCTTGAGAACTAAGAGCACACAAATAACTATTCTGGAGCTGCCAGCGTGGGAACCGTTCACCAAGCTCAGGAGCCACTTGATCGCCTCCTCTTCCTCCAGGAAGTCTTCCTGGTCAGCTCCAGCCCACAGAGATTAGCCCTCCTCTTGGTCCTCCCGGTGTGTCCTCTACAGACCCTGCTCTTAGCAGTCAATCCAATCTGAAGTTCTCAACCTGCAGGACCTAAATGCGTGGGGCGGGACAGTCAGACCTGAGATGTATTGCTGGTAGTTTGTTACCACAATTATTAAATGCTGAAGTATGGATCACTGCCTTTGTTTTGTAAGTCAGATTGGACTCTAGGGTATTCCTGTAATAGTATCACTTTCAGTCATTTCTCTTCCAATTTGGTTTTTGAGAAAGAGAAAAAGAGATGGGTTACCAGAGCATAATTGCTTATCAGGCACCTACCTCACGCCAAGTCTGGACTGGAGGCCGGGTGTAAAGTGGTAGACAGCCCAGATATATGTTCCTCCTCTCATGGAATTGATTTCAGTGAGAAAGGAATGAAACATAACCCCAAAACCAGCTGTCCTGGACTCCCAGCGACAGACACTGATGATCAGCTGAGGCATTATGAATGAATGCTGTGTGTTCCCAGGGTTCTTCCCTCCCTCACCCCCTTTTTGGTTTCATCAATTCACGGGAGAGTGACATGAATGTGAACATCTTGTGTAATATGCATCTGCCCAGATGAAAAGTGACTGAGAATCCCTGGATTAGACTAAATCTAGCCATTTGCTGCAATTTATATTGATCTCTGTTCCCATTCATTCAACATATTTTGGCAGACAGGTGACAAAATTGCAATAGGATCCCAGAAGTGTGAGTCAATGGTTCCTTCTGGAGAGGAATTCGGGGCAGGCTTCACCGAGGAGATGGCTTTGGCGCTCTATTTTGAAGTATGACTAGGGGTGTTCCAGGGAGGAGTAGGCAGGCGTATTCCCACCTTTGAAGAAGCCTGGAGTCTAGCGAAGTCCCGGGCACTCCATAGGGTCTCAGCTCATTTTGGGGACTGGTGTTGACACGGGGTGGGAGGGAGGTTTGTGTGTGTGTGTGTGGGGGGCTGAATTAGCTGGTGCAATAAGCAGAGAATGAGTCCTGGGGTTGTCTGGAGTCAGAGCTCACCATGGGAGGGATCCCTGAGTGCTCAAGTGTGGTCTGAAGTTCCTGAGGGACAAGCCTGGTTCTCCAAGACAGGAGAATGGCCACAGTCCCACAGGTAAGGTGCTGAGCTACACTGAGAGGCTCCCTGCCGTGTGGGCCTGGACGGAACGGGGTCACTGGCCTTGTACAAAATGGGTGACCAATAAGCTCTTTTTTTGTTTTCCACTTGTACCAATTTAATATCTTGTTTTCCAAGTGCCAAAGCATTTTTTTTCTTCTTACATGAAAGCTTTTAGCTTCCAAACCTGTCATAATCTTCACAGTCTTTGACAGCCACAAGATTAATATAAATTTTTTTTTTTTCTAATGTCTCCGCTACCATCAGAAACTTCATCATGACGTCCATCTTCTTTCTCTTCCAGGTTCGGCTCGACGTCTGGTGGACCCCTGATGAACAGCCCCTATTTTTCCTCTAGTGGGAATGGCATAAATTTTTAGATCTCCTTCTCTTCTCCCTCCTTCTACCTTAGCCCTTAGATCAGGGCAAAGGGCTCTGGAATTCTGGATTCTGCAACAGCTTGGTAGGAAGTTTGGAAAACCAAGGTTCCAACCAGGTCCCAGACAGAACACAGCAAGACCAGACTCATCTATTGACCAACATTCATACACACACAGACACACACACACACAGACACATACACCCCCCTAACATCACACACACACACACACACACACACAGTCCTCCTCGTCATACTCACTTGCTTAACCACATATGCACCTGTATTTAGCTAACATGAGTGATTTTTGTTGTTGTTGTTATTGGTAAAATAGAAGTAAGACACTTAATTTTAGAAAGTTTGTATTTTATGATAAAAGTGTGAGCCGCTTGAAATGGAATGTGCCTATTTATTTTGGTTCTGTTCTGTGTAATTTTGACTGTTCATTTTCCCTATGAGTCTCAGTGTTTAGTCAGGACATGAAAGAGACCACAGGCTGCAGTCCTGGAAATTCTACTTGCTAAATAGGGGACTCCAGGGTTGATCAACTTGAGGGGTCACCTCTTCTTTTCTCTGATCCACTAATTTCTCAGTATCCCAGTTTATGTGTCTCAGGAATGGCGTAAAGGAAGTGCCTCCCCAACTTGAAGTTCTAGCAAATACTGGGACCTTTACTTCCTCAAAGGGCTTCCTCATGTTGTGCTACCAGCTAACAACCCAGACTTCACTGTATTCCCCCCCCCCCCTTTTCTCAGCACATTGGTGAAAACAGAGAGTAGGAGAAAGTGTGGTTTGCCCTGATGCAGACTTGTGTTCTTAACCACTCTCCAACTCTGACTTTGGGAAGAGAAATTAACCTCTTTGGACCTCAGTTCTACTTAATGCATCGTTAAAAGCTGAGAGGAGTAAAAGATAGGGTAGCCTCAGTATAGACTTAATGTTTACTTGATACAGACTTGTGTTTTTAAGACAATTGAGTAGACAGAGATGTGTCTCTGTGCCTCTTCTTTTGAAATTCACACTCAGATAACAAGGAGAACAAGAAAAACCTATAGAAACCCCATTACTGATGAAACTAGGGGAAACCACCCATATCATCTGCTATCCACAAAGGCATCAATTGGGTTAGAGGAGTGGTAAATACCTTCGCAGGATTGGGGATCATCATGTTGAAATAAGGGGTGTATGTCGGAGGAGATCCATCACCAAGAAGCAAAGCATTTACCCCTGCAGAACTCTGAGGGGTCAGGAGGTCTCAGGTGCTAGATACCATGGAAGGTGGGACTGGAGAGGGAAGAGGTAGCTCCTAACTTGTTCCCGCAAAGATGGGGCCATGAATTGTGTGGAGAGAGGTTTTCTCTCTGGAGAAACCTCACACCAGGCATAGGGGTTATGGAGATGAAGGCCCAGATGAAAAATGGGGATTATGTAAAATATGCATGTACATCCATAGACAGCTAGGTTTTAGCCAAGAGATCGGAGTTTGGAGGGTTCTTTGGAGAAAATGAACTTCCCTACAGGCACTTGAAGATATCTATGAAAATCACCCTCTGATTTTGCCCTTTCATAAAGAGCTTCTAATCAATGTTTAAGGACATGACTCATGTTCATAAACATGGATAATCTCTAACAAGAAAGAAACAGCTCAAAACAAAGGTAAACAGGAACTAAGAGAGAGACTCTAAGGTTCTCAGAGATAAGTCAGTACATTTAAAATATAAGACAACATGCTACATGCTTATTTTTACAAATCAGAACAAGTGCTTTTGAAATTAAAACAGTGATTGCTGATTTAATTTTTTGTTCAGTGGAAAGGGTTGGAAGCTAACATCAGAGAGAGATCATGGAAAAAAAATTTAAAAAAATACATGGACAGGTTATAGGAGATAAAAATCAAGAAAATGAGAAGATCCATCCAAGAAATGAATAACTGTCTGAAGCAGAACAGCAAAAATAGAACTATTAACAGCAATGATGACGACAAAAACACAAGAATAATTTCCAGATTGAAAGTCCAGACAAGTGTGCAGCAAAATGAATGAAAAAGATGTACATTGAGTACATTCACATGTGGGATTTCACAATACCTGGAGTAAAGGCGAGATTCTAAAACCTTTCCAGAAAATCCCGCTCCCTTACAAATGTTCAAGACTCATAATGCTATCAGATTTCTCAGCTGTACCCTGGGGGCCCAGAAAATCCTGGGGAATGGTAGTTAACTTTGAATGGAGATGATTTACAACCTAGAATTCTAATATGAAACTGTAAAGGTAGAATGAAGCTGTTTTCTGATGTACAACGTCAGAAAAAAAATGATCTTTTAGCACCTAAGTCAGGGAACAAAGAGAGGGTGTACCCCACTAAAAAACGTGGGGGTACAGTGACAAGACATGGAGTCCAGGAAACAGGTCTCCAAGGACCCTCAGTGGACAGAGGCTGAAGAGATTCTCGCGGAGATGAAAATGGAAGGTGCCAGCTCAAGAACCCTAAATCTAAGCTGGAAAGTCACCACCTCCAGTCCAGGTTGAAGCAGGAAGGCAGAGGCCTCCAGACAGTGGCTGTGACAGAGGGGGCAGAGGGCTGTAGGGATGTTATAGGGCACCTCAATTCAGAGAGGCACCCCTGAAGCCCCAAAACCTGCCTGCTCTAAGTGGGTTCTGCCATCCGCCGCAACAAGACAAAACATATAAAGCTTTAATAAAAAGTGACTTTAATACAGTGAATATACAATATGGAACACAAAGAATGTAACTTCTAAATCAAACACCTGAAGTTACCCATCCCCTCGTGGGCAAAAGTCAACCCAAAAGGGATTGGCCCAAAGCAAGGCCTGAAAGCCTGCCACAAGACTAAAGCACCTTCTGGCTGGGACCCATGGAAAAGGGTCAGAAATGGCCAGACAAATCTGAGAGGAAAAGAGCAAAATCAAAATCAATATAAACACTGCCATAGTCGCCTCCCTACAGGTATCTCACCCACATCTGCCTTAACCAGTCCAGGGTCAGGAAACAAGTCCGGTTTCTTCATCACATGTTTGCTGCTCCTTAGGTCTCCTTCTCCATCTGCCTCCTTCTCTCTTCTTCTCTCTCCTTTTTCTCTGCTCAGTTCCACCCTCCTTCTGGGTGGGGCAGGGAACCTGGAACTTCCCTTCTCCTAGGGACCACCCAGTTACAGGGAGAGGAAATGATAGATTCTTCTGACGGTGATCACTGTGTGGAAAATTGTGTCAAGTGTTGTTTTAGTGTAGTTGGAAGAGGTGGGCAACTTTGTTGGGAGTGACTAAAGATTTACTCACAAGGACTGAATTAGGGCGGTAAAGACCTTGCATCCAAGGACTGATAAGGTGGTAATAAACTGACCTTGCATCCGGGATGGGACTAGCTGAAGGTGAGAACGAACTGGGCCTTACATCAAGGACACAGCGATGAGTCACCCCCTTTGGAATCTGAGTTTAGAATCTATATAAGAGACCCTTCCCCCTTACTGAGCGGGCAGTAGCTGCGGACCCCACTCTAGGGGCTCTGTCTCAGCTGCTGTCCCCGGGAGCAATAAACTCTGCTTGCTCAGCCTTTCTGCCTCAAGCCTTCCTGTCTTGCTGCCGGTCACAGAACTTGGTGAACAGACTCCATGGCGTCCGTCCCTCCTCTCCGCCTTTTCCTTAAACTTAGCTATAAACTCCCATAAAACAATGAAATGATTGGGACTGACTCTGCAGTGAAAAATATTTACATGGTCATAATAATGAAAAACACAAATATGAATTTAACCAAAATTGTGTTATAACTGCTGTGGGAGGATGGAGGTGAAAAGAGGGGTGTGGATAGAGCCCAAATCCTCATTTATCATAGTAAAGTCAGTAGGAAGTATCTGAAATGGATGATTTGAGAGATAGTGGAATTCCCATAATTATCTAGAAATCTGGAGGTAAATCCCAGAATAAAGAGTCAAGAGAGTTGAAGAAGGTTCTGTGAGAAGAGGATGGATTGGTAAGGGAGGCAGGAATCCTGCTTTGCTTATGCGTCTTTAGCACTGTTTGCCTGTAAGCCATATACATATCTCAGGCTTCAGTGAAAGATACACACACACACACACACACACACACACATTTTCTTTTAATAAATAAATAAATAAGAGCATTTATTAAAAAAGAGAGGCCGGCGTGCAGAATACCGTCTGTGTGGCGCTTCGCACTGGGTGGGTTCCAGTACCACCTCTGATTCAGAAAGCGCCTGCTGCCCAGGCCCCCACCCCAGATGCCCGACACTCCGATTCTCAGAGGCTTTAGGAAATGGTTCCCTAAGGAATTCTTCAGGGGGAAGCTTAGTGAAGGGGAGGCTGCTTCCCATGCCGAAGGCCTTTCCAATGCATTACTGACTCAACTCAGCTCTCAGGGAGTCCCAGAAGCTGCTGGAGAGTAATGGAAATAGGTATCCCAAGTACCTGACCTGACTCAGGATTGTGAACTCTGGGAGGGACTGAAAACTCCAGACCTTCCCTGGTTCCTTCCTGACAACTCTCCTGCCTGTCTCAATACATGTTCCCTGAAACTAATTCCTCTGGAAATAACAGTGGCTCAGACAGACGCAGTGTCTACCCTGGTACATTTTTAAGCTTAGAAACTAAATCAATGTTACTATGATTGTGGTGAGGTTATTAAAAGGATATAGGAGAGCACATCGTAGGGCACCCACCCAGTTAGAGTAGCAGGTAAGTGACGTCTACTCTTTCGACATCTGAAAGGTTTTCAAGTCACAATGCCCAGCTTCATTCCTCAGGACCTACTTGCTTTGCAAATCTTAAAACTAATGATAGTCTGTGTGTGGTTTAAGCAACAAAGTTGAGCAGGAGCATATTTTTGTAGATTCTAGAAATACTTAATAAAATAATAGCAGTGGCCCTCCCTGGTGGCGCCGTGGGTTAAAGCGCAGCACTGAGAAGCTAAAACCACTTCCGTATGAGTTCGATTCCCGCCTGTCCCGGAGGTGACCACATGGCGTGGCA